GGTGGTCTCTATTTACTTGTGACCACGCTGTGTATATCTGTTGTTTTTTTTTGTGGTATCGAAACCCAATTTTAGCGTTATAAGCCTTCAGACTTACCGTTGAGTCACTTAAAGGCAGTTGTATATTTGTGTTCAGTGTTTCATTTTTTTCGCAACACAATAAACATTTCTTAATTTTTCAAACAAGAACAAAAAATTGAGTTTTTTTAAACATATTATTATTTCTGTTTCGAATAACATATATATATTTCAACAAAGGCTAAAGGAGCATTGTCTTCTTACCAGACTGTAACAAGTTATCCAAAATCAACATTTAAATTTCCACTTTCAAGGATTAACACAATAGAACAAAAAAATTAATCACATTTTTTCTTCTTTACGTAATTAACACACTGTAGAATATCAAGATGTCGTCATTTGAAAATATTTATAGACATATATAGTAGACTGTTGGAGAGGGCGCTCGTCACGTGAAAAACAGGGATGACGATACGCAGATTCCACCTAGTAGAACTTTATGTAACTAAAGAACAATTCAACGTGGCTACAGACGCAACCTAGTGATGTAAATTTGCAAAATGGTTGTTTATTTTTCCCAGACAACCGGAGAATATATATGAACTACTGAAAACAAATCTCCATGAGATTAAAGTTAGCAAATCTGTAGTATTTAGTCGTAAAACAACAGAACATGAAAACTAGAATGTTTGTAGACTTTTATTACATCACAAACCTATTCTGTACAATATTTATAAGACAATTTCGTGGAAATCCATTCAAAGAAAAGTCCATCCATATACAAAGTTTCACCAGTTGAATACCAAACGCCATCTACAATAGTGATAATTTAAAGGATTTTTTTTTTAAAAAAAGGAATATTTACAGCGTTAAAAAAAAAATTTCATCTTCCAGTGAGAACCAAGAGATGACATAAAAACCAAACAAATGAAACGATTCCATAAAGTAAACAAAAGTATACATTTTAAAAATGTTAGTTGTCACAGATTTTCTTTACAAAATTACATTTTAAATCGTGATGAATTTGCCATAGGACTCGCGGGAGATTTTATTATTTCAAATTGATAAGTGTAAGATGCAGGAAATAAATTCGCTGATCTTTCAAAAAAAAAAAAATACTTGATTAAAAATAACAATTTTTTACGATATGATAATAATAATGTTAAAAGCAACTTATTAAAAACTGTTTTAAAATATTAATTAGATCGCCCTAGTGCATCCGACAGGCGAATATGTCTTAATTTAGTTAACCTTAATTTGTTTTTCAAAATTAATATTTTGTACATAGAAATTACTGACACGTAATTATACAGAATTTTTAACTTTCATTATGACCAAGGACATAGCAACTGGGGGACAGACCCCCCGAGTACTTTTGCTCCATCTGAGATATTTTAACTGTCATTGTGACCAGGGACATAGTCACTGGGGGACAGACCCATCCGACTACTTTGCTCCATCTGAGATATTTTAACTTTCATTATGACCAATAGCATGGCCACTGGGGAACAGCCCCCCCCCTCCACCGAGTGCTCTGCCAGATCTGAGATATTACGATTTAGTCTTTTAAGATTTTAATTTTTTTTAACATTGTGACTCCCACTGACATGAAAGTGTTGTTTTTTTCTGCCCCAAACTAATTTGTTGCCTCCCAAATAAAAATCTTAGAAACACCATGAGTATAACTCGAGCTACCTACATGAAAAGAAAAAAAAAACATAACATGTAATGTTCCCAAAAAAATGTTACAATTGTATAGCAAAATTTATCTGCCTTAATCCACGCGACCCCCCCTATAAAAAATACTTGCAGTGTTCCAGTCTATGTCTATATGTGTTATTTTATTACATCTGAAATGTAAACAACCACACAATGACGTACAGTGGTAATATTCTGGTGAATGTGACACAAGGATACGTGCCACGCATCTCGTAACTAAATTCTATAATAATCTTATATAAACACCAGGCAAATTGTAAGTCAAAATAATAATATATATATATATATCAATATTTTACATTAGAAATATAAACACTGGGTATTTTAAGTTAGTAATGTGCTACTCAAAACCACGAGGTGATAGATACAAAACCAAAACCATTGGTCGATCACTAGTGCCATCTCGGGAATGTCGCGGAAAGTAATATAATAACGGTTGGTTTCATAAAAATATGTCAGTTTTAACATAACCCATTCGTTTTGTTTATACGAATACCGTCATCATCTGAATATAGCAGTTTTCTTTTCTTAAAAAAAAATTTCCGTCTTGACGAAATTAGTTAATTTAAAGATTGATGTTCGAGGTACATTGTTATTAAGAATGGCTGGTCAAGTCGTTTGTTGTCCATGAACGGGACCCATCATCCAACTGTCCTTACGGAACTTATTGGGAACAGTGTCCGTGATTAGACAAAATTCTGGTATCAAGTTGTATAAAAAAACTCAAAAGTCAAAGCGCACACTTTGGTATAAATCTTTTTTAGCACTATTCTAATTGGAATGAAGATCCTCTATTGGTGGAACTAAGTTTTTATAATTTTACAGTCATCCCCTATTGGCGGAACTAAGTTTTTATAATTTTACAATTATCCTCTATTGGTGGAACTAAGTTTTATAATTTCACAGTCATCCTCTATTGGTGGAACTAAGTTTTTATAATTTTACAGTTATCCCCTATTGGCGGAACTAAGTTTTTATAATTTTACAGTTATCCCCTATTGGCGGAACTAAGTTTTTATAATTTTACAGTTATCCCCTATTGGCGGAACTAAGTTTTTATAATTTCACAGTCATCCTCTATTGGTGGAACTAAGTTTTTATAATTTTACAGTTATCCTCTATTGGCAGAACTAAGTTTTTATAATTTCACAGTTATCCTCTATTGGTGGAACTAAGTTTTTATAATTTTACAGCTATCTCCTATTGGTGGAACTAAGTTTTTATAATTTTACAGCTATCTCCTATTGGTGGAATTAAATTATATTTTCACAGTTATATTTCTCTTGTCAAGTATTAACGCATTCCTTTTTTCCAAACACCAGCTGTTCAACACATTAAATGATTCTCAAAACCGTGAGAGATGTGACTGAAGTAAACTTTACCCCCACCCCTCTCCCGGTGTGTTGGCCCTGAATTTGACGAAATATATCTGGCCACGTCACCTAGTTTTGCTTTTGAAAGGACTTGAAATATATTTCTCAAAATGTTTACATATCGCTAATTCTTTAGCACTGATTTCAGATAGCACGTTCACAGAGAGAGAGGTCTTTCTACGGTAAACTGTTCTCGCAGTTCTATATAATATTCCGCGAGGGGTCGCTTCACAGTATGTATATTAATCTCCTTAAAAAAAAAAAAATGTAAAGATAACCGTTTGTCCAAGAGAGGATGTGTCCATGAAGTGATGATTATTAACGATAATTTTTGAATATTTCTGTCCTGACGGGTAGAAATGTGACAATGATATTAGTGTAAAACACTTTTCACGAAGGTGTGAAGATGAGTTTTGAAAAATAGGTTTTTAGAAAGGACAAAAATAACTCAGAAACTCGGTTTACTTTCCCACTAACTTGTAGCTCTTCTTCTTAAAGTATTTTTATTTCACTTTTCAAACTTCTAAACATTATTACGTGCCTGTTAAAACAGACTGCACCTTCGTATTTTGAAAAAAAAAAAATGTTGCCCGGTAATTATTATTTATTTAACGCCTTAAAATATTTATTCACAGTGATCTCTATTATTTTTTTTTTCATCCAAGTTACCACGTTAGTAAACGTCAGTTTTCAGTTTGTTTGTTTTAGAACAAAGACACATTGGGCTATCTTCTCGGTCCACCGCGGGGATTTAGCGTTGTAAGTTCGTAAATTTACCGCTGACACTAGACCAGAGTAAGGTACCACAGAAAATGAGTCATTCCGTTTGGTGTAGACTTTTTTTTTTTCAGTGAGAGGGGGTGTTGTAGTTTGATTGCTTGTTTGTAGTTATGCACAAAGCTACACAATGGACTATCTGTGCTCTGACCACCACAGGTATCGAAACCCGGTTTCTAGCCTTGTAAGTCCGCAGACATATCGCTGTGCCACTGGGGGCTGTAGTTTGAGTTGTTAAACTAAGTACCCTAAGGTAGCGACAACGCTCTTTTGACATACGAGATATACCGGGTTCGATCCCGGGTCATGCAAAGAGCCAATGATATATAACATTGCTGAGGTCTAAAAATATTGGTTTTGGAACTTCTTCTACACCCTGTTTCTTCCTAGTGTCAGGTTATAAACATAGCAGAAAAATATACTTTTAGTTTTCCTGTGCGGAAGAACACTGTAGTTTTTACGTTTGGGTGTAAAAGCAGCATTAGGACTAAGTTTGAAAATTAAAAGGGAGGGTGTAAACAGATTTTGGAGTGAGCTGGGTGCCGGACCTATTCGTTAGGTCTGTAAATTGGGTTCAAATATCTCCAGGTTCTCTAGAATTAAAATTAGGATTTGTAAGCATAACACACGACAATTTATCTGTATGGCAGCTTCAGTCGTTAAAAAAGTGCCTGACTAGCAAGCACTACTGAGTTGACTGTTCAACTCAGTCAGTAAAACACTCGCCTGGGGGATTCGAATCCGAGCTGAGGGGGAGGGGGGAGAGAAAGAAATTACACGATTAACTTACTAGTGACTGTCAGTTAGACGGTTTTTAATAACTACCACGCCTTCTGGATTAACTTGTCAGAAACACCGTAAGCATAATATACAACACGCATACCTTACGATCTGTCTGTAAACCCATTCCAGTGAGGCCCTGAATTAACGTAACAGTTCAATTGTTTCACCCGTGCATGATATGTATTTCTAAACCTTGCTGTTAACTTACGTGCAATAAGCTTGAGCAGTCTCTATTACTATATATACATACAAAAGCTAAGAGAGAGATAGCTAGATATACTTACATGTCCCTAAATTACACGTATTTATTGTGTTTGAGTAGTCTACAAGTAAATCAGAATCTTTTATTTAAAAAAGATATTAACGCTTTTGTTACAAAAACATTCACTAGGTGTCACTGTGATCATGTTCTCTCTCTCCAGGACGTATTGTTTTTGTTTTTTCACAGCAGGCAACAGTTTTTTAGATTGAGTGTGGGTTAAGGCGGAAATCAGCGATTTTCTACTCCTCTAGAAGCGACTTCTGGTGTCAGTGAATTTAGTATTCAACGAGAATGACGTCACCAAACAGGTGTTTCACTTAAAGAATGATGGGATAGTCCTCCATGATACACACTGTCCAGAGATGACCTAGGTGGGCAGTAGCCATCAGGAATCATACCTGGAAGAAGACATGGCCTCATGTCTGGGCTTGACCGATGAAGCATGAGGTCACTGTGCGCGTGCAAACAAGGTCCATCAGTAACTATATTGTTATGACCTGTGAAAGAAAACCAGAATAAATGAACACCAAGAAATCAACGTAAAAGTTTTTAGAACTACTGAATTAGAGTTTGTGTCTATTCTACCAGAGGTATCTTTACTAATTATTATCTTAAGAATGTGTATTAGTAAACACAGCTGTTGTTAGTGATATCCTAAATATGGAGTTGGATGTACAGAGAGGGTGCTGAGTTGGATGTACAGATGTTTCTACTGTACAGAGAGGGTGCTGAGTTGGATGTACAGACGTTTCTACTGTACAGACAGGGTGCTGAGTTGGATGTACAGATGTTTCTACTGTACAGACAGGGTGCTGAGTTGGATGTACAGATGTTTCTACTGTACAGACAGGGTGCTGAGTTGGATGTACAGATGTTTCTACTGTACAGACAAGGTGCTGAGTTGGATGTACAGACGTTTCTACTGTACAGACAGGGTAATAAGTTGGATGTACAGACAGGGTGCTGAGTTGGATGTACAGATGTTTCTACTGTACAGACAGGGTGCTGAGTTGGATGTACAGATGTTTCTACTGTACAGAGAGGGTGCTGAGTTGGATGTACAGACGTTTCTACTGTACAGACAGGGTGCTGAGTTGGATGTACAGCTGTTTCTACTGTACAGACAGGGTGCTGAGTTGGATGTACAGCTGTTTCTACTGTACAGCTGTTTCTACTATAGAGACAGGGTGTTGAGTTGGATGTACAGATCACTTCTACAGTAGAGCTTGGCCTAGTGGTTGGGGGTGCCGGACTGTGGATTCGAAGGTCCATAAAGTTCACGTCTTCTTGCCGAAAAAAAAGAAAAAGAAATCGCACACCGCGCCTTAAGAGCATCTAAGAGTTGGCAGTGGGCGCTGTTGACTAGCTAGCTGCTCTTTCTCTAGTCTATCGTTTGAAAACTAAGCGCGGCTGGCGAAGATAACCCTCGCGTAGAACTTTACGCAAAAATTCGAAGCGAACAAACCAAACCCATAAAATACTTAGTGACAACACAAATAAAGTTTCAACCATCTTACGTTTGTGCAATGAAACATGTCGAACTACAAAGATGCATTATCAACCATAACCACTTTAACCCTAAAGGTTACTTTAAAAAAAAAACTCTTAAGGTTCAACAAATGTCCACTCCTTCATTTTTTTTTTTTCACGCGGGACAGCGACCTTCTTTTGAATACCAACCCATCTTTCTCTTCGAAAGTTTGGCGTAAATTATCTACACCACACATGATTTGTAGCCGTATCGCGATGATAAAGTGTCGGTCAATGAGTGACCGACTTCAAGCCGATACCGATAAATTTTCCACGGTCCGGATTCACCACCCATTACTCGTGCGTAACACCGCGGGGAGCGAGGGAGAAACACGGGTACTACATCCCAGTCATACCCATTAAATCTCAAGCGCACTGCTAATGGGAGGCATTAATTTTCTGTCCACGGGCATAACAATTATTTTCACACCTTTACAGAGGGTAGACTAATCGAAGAAAGGATCCCCCTTGTGGAGCCTTTAGATATTAACGACCTAGAAAATAGGATTAGTTACCGATTGAGCCAATAGTTTTATTTTATTTTGTTAAAACAGCAATCAACATTCGTCTCAGTTGCTATCTTTTACGTTCTAACAACGAATGTGTAAAGTTATATTTGGAAGAGTTTAGGGTCGCCAGACTATAGATCTACAGGTTCCATGTTCGCGTCCCGTTTGCGATCCTGTTCTTGGCAGGAATTTAGGTCTTATATATAAACCAGGTACTCTGAGATCAAGCAATCTCTCTCCCCCCCTCCCTGAGGATTATAGACAATAGTTAAAAACTGCTTGGAGAGAGAGAGAGAGAGAAGAAAAAAAAACGGGCCTGATGGAGTTTATGAAGTATGATAGGACCCAAGATCGTCCAGCGAGGTGGAGACAAACGTTGATTCACCCTTGGGGTACTATGGGGTCGTGGATACATTAGAAGGTTACGGGCAAATGTCACATGTGTGTCCAGCGGACTGCACTAACTTTTAAGTTTTTAGGGTTACGGTCAAGTGTCAGATGTGTGTCCAGTAGACTGCACTAACCTTTAAGTTTTTAGGGTTACGGTCAAGTGTTAGATGTGTGTCCAGCAGACTGCACTAACTTTAAAGGTTTTAGGGTTACGGTCAAGTGTTAGATGTGTGTCCAGCAGACTGCACTAACTTTGGTGCAGTCTGCTGGACACACATCTAACACTTGACCTTAACCCTAAAACCTTTAACCTTTAAGTTTTACTTCAAACGTTTCCAGGAGTAAACTTACTATTCATCATCATCATCACTCAATATTAAGAAGTAAAATTTAATCACTTCAAATCACGTTTATTTCAAAATCTTGAAACTTTAAGAAATAAGTCTATTTTCTGGCGTTTTACCTGAGCCTAAAGCTGACCCCATACGTTGCTCCACAGTTCCTACCGATGCAGGTGTTCGAACCATGGTTCCTGGTGGAAAAGGGATGCCTTCGGGTGTCTGGTGGACAGTGTAGTAGTCGTAAGGGCCATGAGGTCCATAGGGGAAATCGCATGGGCTTCCGGAGTCTATAATATAGGATTAATTCACACTATTCTTCAAAAACATACACCCATAATAGTAACTAACTCCATCTGGTGTCCTCCTGTTACAGGAATATCATTCAATTGTATTATTTTAACAACATATAGTTAGTAGCAAACTATTCATCTGGTCTCCAGTTACACTTATTACACTGTATTACTTTAAACAACGTATTAATACAGTGTTAACGAATTGTCCATCTGGTCTCCAGTTACACTTACTACACTGTATTACTTTAAACAACGTATTAATACAGTGTTAACGAACTGTCCATCTGGTCTCCAGTTACACTTATTACACTGTATTACTTTAAACAACGTATTAATACATATTAATATGGTGTTAAAAGTAATACAGTGTAGTAAGTGTAACTGGAGACCAGATGGACAGTTTGTTAACACTGTATTAATACGTTGTTTAAAGTAATACAGTGTAGTAAGTGTAAGTGGAGACCAGATGGTCAGTTCGTTAACACTGTATTAATACGTTGTTTAAAGTAATACAGTGTAGTAAGTGTAACTGGAAACCAGATAGACAGTTCGTTAACACTAATATTCCTGTAACCGGAGACCAGATGGACAGTTTGTTAACACTAATACACTGTTAACAAAATACATATAAAGTAGTAACAAAATGATAATATTGTCTCCTAGAGTAGTAGTAGTATTATGTTATATTATTCGTATATATAAATACCTATATATTTACAGTATTAAAAACGCGTATAGTTCTAACCAAGCTTGAATCTATAACCTAAAGCAGTTTACGTTTTGTTTTTTACTTACGTTCCTGCTTCTTTTCGAAACAACTCTCTTTAAATTCGAATTTAAAAGCTTGAACAAAGGAAAAGACACCCGTTATACCTGTAGTTTATGATTTCAATCTTTCGAAACATTAAATCACCCGTTGTGACTCAAATACGCTGGCCAGAGACTGTGGTTTATGCTGCTAGATTATAGGTATTACTATGAAGAGCAAAAAAAAAATATACGAAATGAAACCGAGCAAACTCTATTGGCAACCGGTAAAGAATTCCGTGTCTGTGACGTTAACTTCTCGAAAATGACAAGGGCATGTTAAATACGTTTTTTAGCAGAGCTGAAAGAATGTGTCAATTTCCGTCGCGTGATCTTTACACACATATACAGGTTAATTTTCGTATATATATGAAATAATACAAAAAAAAAGTCTTAGTTTGTTATAGAGCAAAGCCAAATTGGGCTATCTGTTGTGTCTATCGCGGGAAATTGATTTTAGGGTTGTAAGTACGTAAACTTACCGTTGTCCCACCGGGAAATAGAAAAACGTCACCTTCTGTTACGTATGACATATGGCGTTTCAATACAAATTTGGCGTGGAATGGTCAAGTGGTTAGGGAGCTCGACTCGCAATCTGCGGTTCGAATCCCCGTCCCACCAAACATGCTTGCTCTTTCGGCCGCGAGGGCGTTATTATGTGACGGTCAATCCCACTATTCGTTGGTAAATAAGTAGCTCAAAAGTTGGCGGTGGGTGGTGATGACTTCCCTCTAGTCTTACACTGATAAATTAGGGACAGCTAGCGCAGATAGCCCTCGTGTATCGTTGCGCGAAATTCAAAAACAAAGCAATACAAATTTAAACATAAAATCAAGTTCGGTGTGTCTGTGTATATAAAGTAATCACTACTTATATATTCTTAAATACAGAGATTCATTCATCGCTAGTGGACCCGTCGTGGCCCAGTTGTTAGCATGACCGGACCGTTGAATCCGAACGTTCATTGTTTACCGCCAACTCTTTGGTTACTCTTGTCTGACCGTATAGTGGAATTTGATGTACACTGTTATGGCGAGCCCCCGGCCTCAAAGTACAGAATTGCCGTAGACTAGTTGCCTTTCTTCTAGTCCATCAGTGCAAATTCCGGGACAGATCCCAGAATAGTTTTGATCGAAAATTTTAAACAAACCGTCCGTTGTTTTGTAATTTCTAACCCTTTTTTATTGAATAAAAATTCTCGTTCATATGCATAACATGTGCGTATTTGAAACACATGATATTTGATCTTTTAGTTTAAGGGCAAAGCTGTGCCCATCGGAGGAATCTAATCCAGACTTTTACCATTATAGGATACATTCGATACCAGTTTGGCCACATTTTCCTCTGATGTTTGCTAGGCAACATTCCAAATTCCACATTGATATTTCAACCTTTCTTCATTATTCTACTAACGTACCACTTTATGCTTGTAATCTGATAATACAAGCTTCGGACTTCGTTGTAACTTGACGGTGGGCAACAATATGATGCATTCCCCCCCCCCCATGAAAGAACATCTAACCTATCATCAAATCTAATGAATTAAATAATTATCTCCAGAAACTTTTGTTTGTTTTGTTTTGAAGTTAAGCACAAAGCTACACAATAGGCTGTCTGTGCTCTGCCCACCACGGGTATCGAAAACCGGATTCTTGCGTTGTAAGTACATACCGCTGTGCCACTGGGGGGGAGGGGCATCTCCAGAAAGAGTGGCATAGAGTGGTGACTTAAATCATAACCAATAACTGGTATATTCCTAAGCAGTTGGTTTATGTGCGCGTACAGGTTCTGACAGATATATATATATATATACATCCGGGGCTTTCTAAAAGCTTGAAATAATGTTTCAATTTTTCCATAAATTTTACCCCCCCCTTTTTTTAAGTATGTTATCAGCTTAGATGTACAGCCAAATCTCTAAGGTGACCGTTTTATTTAAGCAAGCCTCTAAAACGTTTGTCTCGTCTCCATGACAACGCAACAAACTTTTTAAAATATCCATCCTGTCTCCATGACAACGAATCGAATCTCACGAATAGACTAAACAGGAAATCATTCGTACCAAAGAAAGATATTACAAGGATTTAAAATAATCCATTAGGTTTTAACTTAATCAAAGCTCTTAATATCATTCGCATTCAGTGACTCACTAAATATAGAAGCCCTGTTGTTACGTCTTCGTAATACAATTTGCCGATTTTTTTTTTTTTTGCCAAACCAGAATCTTTAATTTTATCCAACCGGTCACAGTTGAGAGAAAACATTTCTAGCTGATAGTGGTAACTTTTTTTCTTATTATTTTACATGAAACATCTGAACAAACAGTGTCGTTTTTTTGTGTGCTAAAAGTTCCCGTGTTTTATTAGCACTTGATAGTGCTAACTATGTCTTTTGTGCTAAAAATGTCCTGTATTTTATTACCATTTAAAGGTGCTAAATATGGCTTCTATGTTAAAATTCCCTGTGTGTTTTAATACTGTTCGAGTATTTCAATACCAACTATCCAAAGAATAAAATTGGCTCGAGACACGAGAGCACGCACAACCCGAAAACGTTCAGTGCAAGGATTGAAGGTCATAAGAGAAATAACTCTACGAGCCTCCCCTTACTTAATGAAGTTTGGCCGACGAAGAGAATTTTGGTATGAAGCCGGGTTGCCTTGATCACGTTGCTAGGACAGGCGCGCGAGATAGGTTGTGGCGTTGGAAACTCATTATTTAAAGTCTTCTACTGTTAACCCCCTTCCCACCATTCTACCCCCTCCACCTTCGGTAGATAATTATTTCCATAGTGGTTTCAGCCCATTGAGTTACCCAGTAAACCAGAACCTATCGTTCCATGTTTTTTTTTGTTTAGTTGAAGAAAAATGAGTACTTGAATGACCAGCTCGCTACGCAGCGGCCGGCTTTCTCATCACGGTACACGGGTTTATCAACTCGCCGACTCAACCACGCTCAGCCGCGGCAGGAACGTTGAACAAGTCGGGGGCACCGCCGAGTCTCATCCATCTTCGTCATGCGTCGACCAACCCAGAGATGAAGCCGCTCCCGGCCGTCCCACGCCCCTTCCCCCGCTAACCAGCAGTGTCACTCCCCGTAAATTGGCTGCCATCAGGAACATCAATATACGGTGTAAAAATTACACCTGCTTGAATAAGGCCATGTTGGGAATCTTATCAGACCTGTGGTTCGTTGTACTTATTGATGTAAGGACAAAACTAAGCTACTGTGCTAATCAAAATATCACATTAAGGCGGTCTCGTGACAACGAACCAGACCTCTATAATGGCACTGACTTCTAGTAAACAACTTAAGACACTCTCCATGACAACGAACTAAACCTCCAAAAAAAAAGCACTAACTTATAGTGAATATGAATAACCTTAAACATTCTCCATTTGTAGTGAACTTAAGACGATCTCCATGACAACGGGTCCAACCTCTAAAATGGCACTTAAAGTGAACAACTTAAAACAGTCTCCATGACAACGAAGCAATTCTCTAAAATGGCACTAACTTATAGTCAACAGCTTAAAACAATCACTATGACAACGGGTCTAACCTCTAACTTATAGTGAATTTAAGAGTCTCCATGACAACGAATCAAATCTCTAAAATGGCACTAATGTATAATGAACAACTTAAAACAGTCTCCATGACAACGAATCAAATCTCTAAAATTGCACTAACTTATAGTGAACAACTTCTAACAGTCTCCATGACAACGAATCAAATCTCTAAAATGGCACTAACTTATAGTGAACAACTTCTAACAGTCACTATGACAACAAATCAAATCTAAAATGGCACTAACTTATAGCGAACAACTTCTAACAGTCACTACGGCAACGAGTCTAACCTCTAGAATGGCACTACCTTATATAGAACAACTTAAGACAGAACCAATAAATATATTATCGTGGTATTTATAATAATTAACACGATCTCCATGGCAAAGAATCAAAGTATCTTGAATCCCTATATAAACGAAGAAGCACAAATCAACAACACCTATTGTATCCAACATATTAAATAGTCATTATCCAATCGAGAAAAATGGCGCCATGGTTCACAAGTCGTTGCGGCTGCAGTACAGAACGAATCTAAATATTTGATCCGTGTTACTAACTGAATGGCCCCCTCTTGTTCTTTTTATGTGTGGGTCAGTTATTGAAATCATCGAACAAA